CTACATGAAATAAGAAAACGGAAGGCTAATTGGATTGGTCATGTTTTACGCAGAAACTGCCTTCTAAAAGAAGCTATCGAAGGAAAGATAGATGGGCGGATAGAAGTGACAAGAAGACGAGGAAGAAGACGTAAGAAGATGCTGGATGACCTTGGGGACAGAAGAGGATACTGTCATTTGAAGGAGAAAGCTCTAGATCGCATTAAGTGGAGGAATTGTTTTGAAAGAGACTGTAGACCTGTCGTCTTGACAGATTACTGATGATGATGATGATGTATTATAAGAACATGCAAGTGTGTGAACTGCTCTACAGCTGTAAGTAGCTTTGTTGTATAATGACTCACACTGTATGAAGGTGATGTGGATGCAGTAACAGATTTGACTGGCAGTAACCGAGGCAGTTTGCTAGGTGGTGGGCTCCCAGCCCCACTACTGCTACTGGAAGAACTGCTTGTTGTAATTGTAACACCAATCTTTCCAGATTCTTTTGACAAAACCTCTGCCTTTCGTTTTGTTCCAACTGGTTCCCTTCGACTGATGATTGGCCTGTCTTCACTACTGCTGCTGTCACCATCTACAACATCCGGTGGCAGTGCTACCAAATTAGGGGGAGGCGGTGTAACACTAGTAGCATCTGCACAACCTGTAATGAAATTATTAAAGGAAAATGATTCAAAGTAACTCCTCACTATTAATTTTTCATTTAACACACACACACACACACATACGTATACACATGTATTAAATCTAATTCTCCAGGCATTTCATTGCTGACACTATACAGTATCAGAATGAGTAGAAATAATGGTACAGGAAGTAAAATCTGAATACAGCTTCATCAAATGGAACGTGGCATCAACAACAGCTATGCTTTATTTTAAACTAAAACAACTATAAAATATCATTATAATTGCTAACAACACAACGAATACATGCAAACATTTAAATAAGGTAACCTGCAGTCAGCTAAACATATGTATATAATATTAAAAGACATTTAGAAAATTTCTGTTTCGTATCAGAGCATTCAACATGATCAGAAACCAAGACTTCTGACAGTGATTCAAGCAATTCACACCGTTTAACAACTTATATCATTAATTTGCTTGCTTGACACCCCAATCACTTATGACAAGTTTAATGTGCATGTGCACATGAAATTACACTTACAGCAAACAAAGTGATAAACCGGTCAATTATTCTGAACTGTAACACATCCCCTAGTTATAAAACAAGTGGTGTAACACAACCCATACACTCTAGTTATGGTTCAAAGATTGTGATTACATTTCTCCTCTCCTTTGTGCTCGATGGTATTTAACAACAGATAAGTTAAGAACTGTGGATTGGGAAAATAAAGAATAGTACAGAGTTCATTAGTAAAGTGTTACTGTATTCCACTTCAGATAGTTTATTCAACCATCAATACAACCTTACGATAATTTACTGTAACGTGTTTGCAATCCAGAAGAGTAACTTCTATGGAAACGCTAGAGCAGACCGTTGCATAGGAAGTAACAATAGCGATACTGTAATCCCAACAGTGAGCCATTGTGTCGAGAACATCGAATCTCCACGGTTATGACAAATACGCGAAGTGTTCCCACAGAGACAACGCAATAACAACGGGTCACTGCGTAGGAATTGCGGAACCAACAAAGCAACGTTTCCAATGCTATAACAGAGAGTTCGTTTGCCTAGCAGCGGCCGAGGGGATAAATAGCCCTGCTTCGACGAGAAGCAGTCAGTCTTGGAATATCCGCCACAGGAGTGAGTCTGCTATAAACCGCCAGAGAAGACAGTCTAGTGTTGCCGAGATATTGCAAGCAGTAATTGTAACACTGCGAGAGCAAATGATTGTAAAGTGTGTGATTGTGTAAGTGTGAAGAACAATAAAGGTTCTACGGAATTTGAGACCTACGTGAATTTATTTGTAGCCTGACAAACAAAACACGCTACAATACTGTCACACATTGATGACTAAAAACAGGGCTTGGATTGGTAATGGGATTTACTGAACTCTTTTAACTTATAACCACAAGTAATTATAACCTTCTCATTAATTCATGCACTCTACTTCTCACTACATCACATAGTGTGTTTCCTCAGAATGCCATGTCTTCACCAGTCATTGCCTGGTAACGGCTCTGTGTCCATGTTCACATCCTCCACTGGATGACTGCTGGCTTGCAATTCCATGACTGTCTAACCAGAGTCAAGAGTTACTTATGACAGGCAGTTTACCATCAATCAATTCATCTTGGCTCCAAGCCTCTTGTGGCTCACAACCAGTCTAATTTTTTTTCTTGGGGGGGGGGGCTGAAGGCTGTCTCTCATTTTGTCTGTTGCTGCATACATATGGAATAGGCTGGTAAAGAGCACCTGTCCATCCAGAAACTTGCAATGGGTTTGCCTGTCAGCTTCAGCTCTGTCCACTAGGCCTCATTTCCAATCACTTTGGGCGAATTTTGAACAAGCTGCCCTAATTGAACTACAGAAGTTCATACTAGATCCATTTCCTTCTTCACATCCGGATGGTCTGCTATTAATTTTTCATCTCTCTCATCAAACAAGCTGAGCATGGCCTGCCAGCATCTCACATGGCGTTAGTGTAGCAAGACACAACACACTAAAGGTTAATTCACACATAGCGAGCTGTGCCCCGACTTTGTCATTTTGAATGGAACTGCTAAATGGTAGTCTGCATTTGAAATGTACTGCATAGATTTATGTAATTCAGACATGCTGGACTGGGCAAAGACTGTGTTCCGACTGTGTCGTCTCTGACCGTTTCAAAAGCGATTCATCAAGGTCACAGCTCGACACAGCTGGCGCACAGCCCTGTATGTGTGAATAAGGAAAGGGCACCCACTGGTCGCCCGGCACTATTCAGAAGTTTTCGTTACAGCACATTTTGTGCCGAAGCGGAGCGGAGCATTTGTTTAGTTCAGTACGAGAGATAAAGTCGCAATTAGAGCATGTGTATTTTTGTCATTCATCACTATGGATGAAGAAAAACTCATATTATTGGCGCAAGAACATGAATGTCTTTATAACCTCAGCAAACCAGACTATGATAATAATTTAGTATTTATTTAGTATTTTATTTAGTATTTATTCTTTGTGTTCTTGAGTTTTTATTTTTCTGTTATTTACTTATTTTATTATTATTATTTTATAAAATTATTTTCTACTTACAAAAATACAACACAATTTTACAAATACCTTAGTCCTAATTATTTAGTATTACTTAAAAACAAAACAGGTTGTCAATTACAGCCTTATTAATAATCAAGGGACTGCCAGCAATAATAGGAATGAATTTGGAATATTTCTCTTCTTTCGAAAAGAAGCATGGCATCGGAGATGCGGCAGAAGCTGTAGGACCCCAGCTGAGATAGTTTAATAATCGTTTTCCAGCGGAGTTCCTCCTCTTCTTACAACGTCCAGTTGCCATGGCACAGCCCCAAGAGTGCTAAAGTAATGGCAGAATCGTTCTCTGATATCTATAGCTTCCTGGCTGTAATGTCCACCCATGTGACGTAAGAACAGCATGCTTGGCGTACGATTTTGGCTTTCATGTTCAGATTCGCCTTCTGTAACAGACCCTTCATCCCTCAAGTAATTATGTAAGACACATGCATCCTTAATAATTGTGTCTGCATTTTCAGGTTTGACATGCATTCATCCAAAAAATATTCTAAATTTCTGAGTCATAATGCCCAATGCATTTTTGACCACACGACATGCTCTAGAGAGCCTGTAATTGTATATTTGTTTTCCTTCATCGTCATGTGCTGTGCTCCCTGGGTATGGCTGTAGGAAATTTCATTTTAAAGGGAATGCTTTGTCTCCAACAATAACGAAAGGATAAGTTTCTGTGGAATTCAGTACAGGTCTTGGCTCTGGAATGTTCAAGCTGCTCTCTTCTAAACGTTTCCCAAAAACTGAATTTGAAAAAATGTCATCACTTGACTTACCATACCCTCCAATGTCAACAACCACAAACTTGTAGTTCGCATCTACGAGTGCCAAAAGGATAACCAAAAAGGTTTTTTTTATCGTTAAAGTAGAGAGATCTGCTACTTTTAGGAGCTTATATTTCCAGGTGCTTCCTGTCAATTGCGCCTATGCAGTTGGGGAACTGCCACATTGAATAAAAGTCATCCGCTAGTCTTCGTCACATTTCTCCAGTTTGTTCTGGCAGTTCTCTTTTGGCCATTGTTTCCCATATAGCTTTACAAGTTGGAAATATAATAGAATTTACAGTTGAAGGAGCCAGCCTGTAGCTAAAACTCAGAGAAATTTGCGAGTCTCCTGAACCCAAGTATTTCATTGTTAAAGCTAACCTTTCTTCCAGTGAAACAGACTGCTTCCATTTAGAATTCTGTTTTGTCAATTCTTGTCCCAGTATTTTTAACAGATTTTCAAATTTTCGTATGCTCATATGAAAATACGTGAAGAATTTATCCTGATCATCCTTAAGGTGAGAATATATCGTATGAAATTCTCCTTCTTCATCTCTTGCTCTCCGTAACTGATGAACCCACTATTTTCTTTTCATTCTGTTCTTTTCTTCTTGCAACATAAGATATGCTCCACATGCAGCAATCACATCTTCTTCGTTCTGATCCATCTCTACGAATGCAAAATAAAAACCAGCTACAACACGGTCAGCGACCAGTCCACTATATGTGAATGGTGGCAGCTGAGCACAGTCTGCACACGGTCGGTGCACAGTTGGTGCACAGCACGCTATGTGTGAATCTGGCCTTAGGCTCCCACCCACTTGATGCCTTCTGTGCGACAAGTTGTATTTCAGTGTGGTGCTAATGACTCACACTAACTACAACTGTTATAAAACTATCATTTATCTGCTAATCTACGCACTCTCGACTCACAAGTGACTGTTGTTGCTGGTCCTTGTCATATATCTGGCCCCTGTCCTTGCTGGCTGGCACCTTACAGCTGCAGCTCCTGAGCTCCACCCAACTTACTTACTCCCTGACTCCCTCAGTCACAGTCCTCAAAGTCAAAGTTATGGAACGACTGACGGTTGGTCAGCCAGCCAGTCTGTCTTGGTGTCAAGCATCCATCTGGGGCCCAAGACCAGATTTTTATTACTATCAGACAGCTGAGCATTTGTTCATGTGGGGTGCCTTCTCTGACGAGAGGACAGGTCTATCACTTACAACTGCTGCTCATCCTCACCATCACAGTCATACTCAGGTATGAGTCCCATAGGAATCGTGACCATATTTTACTGCCTCAGACTTGAGACTTCCCTGACCTGGAGGGCCACATCCCCATTTATATCACCCAGGAACAGAGTGGCCTAGTTACACCCTCAAACATTGAGTTCCCTTATCACCACCTCCTATGACACGCAAGAATATGATGGAGGTATTCAAACTCACCTCCATATGGGAAGTCCTATGGGTTCAGTCCTTTACACAGCCTTGGCACAGACCAAATAGAAAGCACACGTTGCCTAGCAATGGCCTACTTGTTTGTGAAGTAGGAGGGTTTACCAACCGTCACTTTGCAAGGACTTGGACTGGGCTATATATCAGAGATGGGATGCACAACACATCAATCATGGTGGCAGTGCATGGGTCATTTACTCATAACATACATCTCTTGAATCTATTCTGTTCCATGTACAGTATGGATGACCACCTAATGATGACCTAAAACTGAGTCAAGACATGTTGTGGTATAAATTAAACTACATATACGTATTTGTCTAGGGTTGTATTCATAGTCCTTGAATAATATTTCAGATTGATTTAGCTAAAGAATGCCTCATTATAAATTTACTGTATTCAAATTTTGGGCTGATGAAAAATAAAGAAATATAAGTTACTTTTTATAACAGCTTAAATATGTTTCAAGTAAATTTTCTTGTCGAAAATAGTTGTATAACATTCATCACAGTTTTCTTTTCAAATCAGTTTATAATTTCCTTAAAAGACAAAATATGTGCTGCTTGAATCATATGACAAGTTTAGTTCTGACCATTGAGCCTACTCTGACTTATGACTTGCCTGTTTCTACTGTAACCATCTTTGCCCCTTTGCATTCCCAGCTTCTTACCATCTTTGCTGCTGGTATCATGTGCCCCTGGCTCCAACTCTGGCAATTTTCTGGTGGATTGTGTTGCCCCCTTATCATCCTTGGCGCTGTCCCCTCCTCCTCCTTCGCCCCCTTGCACTGCCTCTGGCTTCTTACCAGCGTCATCATCCTCCCGTTCCCCTAGCTCCAACTCTGGCAAAGCACTGCTGTTCCCTCCTGCCCCTTCATCTTGGCTGCTGTCCCCCCCGACACCCCCTTGAACCTCCTCCGCATCCTCTGCATCACTTCGTCCAACTTCCTGCTGTTGCTGCTGCTGATGGGTGTCCTAATAACACAGACAGATGTTACACCCAAAGAGTACAATACCTTCATCAACTGCAATCAATTGGCTCTCAATCCATAATAGTACTGTACCTTCTTTACTGTAACTAGGGTTAAAGACCACATTCTATTCTGTGATTACCCGATAGTTATATATATATATATATATATAACTATCGGGTTATATATTGTCGCGTATCGGGCGTATATCGCGACAAATAAATTCACGAGGTATTCGATGTAGCGAATTTTATTTCACACTCGCACTTACAATCACACAATTGACAGTTGTACAATTACTGCTATCTGCAGTATCAC